AATCAGCCTGCTCAACAATAACAATCCCTAGTTTCGCATATACTGCGGACTGAATGCTGACATTTCAAACTCACCATGAACTTGCCGTGATACCTGCCACCATTTTGACAAACTCGATAACAGCACGACGTGTTCGTGTCCATCTGCCTATAAATCAACACCGAATGAGTCAATTATGCTCGATGTTATCTCGAAGCATTGTTATCGTTCAACGCTCAGACGGCATATCCACGGTTCGCTGCGCATTTTTCCCGCTCTGACACGAGAGACAGATATAATCAGCTTTCATTAACGGGAAGCATCACGGCGCGCGGCCGCCTGAACGCGACATAAACAACAAACACCACTGGCGCCCTCTACCTGGTAGGTTATTATTTAATTTTCCCATTTCGAACGCATTGGCTCAGCAGCACAAAAGGATTCGCATTATTCGCGGACATAATAGAACCTTCCGACCGTATCTGATGGTTTCAGTAAGGTGAAAGGGCCCGACCAAATTGAGTCTGTAGTTTTCAGGACCGCCAACGGTATCGTTCTGACAGGAAACAGTTTGACCGTGTTTCATGGTGTGTTGGCAATTTAATGAACGGAGCCCTTTCGCATTTTTCGTCCCAACAGCTGGCAGGACTGGCGCCTGGAGTGACAAAGGTATGAGGACGCGTAAAGCAATAGAATTGATAATCAACGTAAGCACCAATTTTTTGGTATTAAAGGATGTATAGTAGATGAAAGCTAATACCTCCGGAACAATCTTGGTCGGTCTCGCAACTGTTTGCTTTTTGGAGGAGTATCAACATCTGAGGATGCCGACCCGCGGTGTAATTTAATTTCAATGCAAACAGATAAAAATAATACATTCTGTTTGTATGCTTGATGCTTGCATTTAAACGCTCATTTGAGTCTGTCGGTTTGACACCAGGCTACTATATGTTTGAAAGTATATGTCACGTTGTATCTTCAAGTCGATATGACAGATATGTACTTTTATCGGCATACCAAGCCCTTTTGTTCATTTACTTAAAAACTACATATCATTACGAAGTTTAGTAGAATCCGCGATAAGGTTTAATTTCTCCGGCTCCCAGCCCCAACGGAAAATGGGCGGAATGACATTTGAATTGGTCTGATGTAGTCAACGCGCGGGTGATAAAATAATGTTCACACTTTCTGAAATATAACGCCCGAAAAGTATACCTCATCTGCGACAAAAATTTTTGCAAAAATTGTGGCTTTTGATTACATTGACCATGATCACTTATGTGTCAAGACTACTCAGTGAAATTCTTCAAATCTTACTTGCAGAATCGTAAGCAACAATTGTCAACAAAAAATGAGGCTGCTTCAGTCTCCAATGTCATATCAGGGGTTCCACAAGGCTCAATTTTAGGACCGATCCTGTTTCTAGTGTATACATCAGATATCAATATAGATATAAAGCATCATCATCATAAATATGTACAAATGTATGCTGACGTTACACAAATTATATCTAACTTCAATCTTGACTTTTTATCTGTGACACACATCAGTGATGATTTAGAATCTACATATAATCGCTCTAAAGCACATAGTTTGAAATATAATGCAAATAAACGTTTAGCACTTATATTTTGTTCAGAACATGACAAAAATAAAATTGATACAGATTTGAATAACACAACACTAGATTTTTGTAATGTATCTAAAGTTTTAGGGCTACGTATTGACGAACAACATCGATAAAGAAATATTAGATATATTTTGAATTATACATTGAAGAATCAGCAATTTGTTAGTTTTTTCTATTCTCAGATATGCTTTTTTAGAACATTTCGCCTATTTGGACGTACTTAGTAGAAATAGATTTTAAATGGTTCAGGTACATGTTGTCGATTCATTCATGGACTGAGAAAATATGATCATGTTTGTGAGAAGATTGAGAATTTAAATTTGATTAAATTTTCCGTTAGTTTTAAATATCAGTTTTCTGTTAACCTTAATTTTTATGTTGATGTTATTATGAATTAAATAGTAATACTTTGTTGTTGGACGATACTTATCGTATCACAAACCTCTCTGTACTTTGTGCTTTCTTAGTTTTTTTTAAACTATAATTCAATACAACATACGATGTGTAAAGTCGCAACTCTAAAAACACCTTAAGAATTTGTTGCCAGATTCTTCAGTTTGACAGCGTCTTACTTTATAACAACACCAAGCACTCAATGAACTGCTCTAAGTTTTTTGTAATAATGAAGAGTGCATCGCATGTCTGGCGCTTCGAGGCATAAGGGCGGAAGTGTCAATATGGCGGGAGTTTAATTAGAAAGTTGGTGGTATGGCGACGCGTCGTTGACCGACAGAGTGGGAGTGCCATGCCGGAGACCTTAACAGTTTTAATTAATTTAGGTATTACACGGTCCAGGAACACCGCCCGCCATCATGCCACCATGCTTAAAATTCTCTTCGTTCCACAGCGAAACGCGACGCCCGGCGTCGCTTCCCACATCAACAGTAGCGCCGAGTACCAATCGTTAAAAAAATAACAATTGATCGCTCAATCGAACGTTCGGTCGTACTTTACTCTTAGCTTGATTTTAGTATAAGCCAGTTGAATTTTCTTCAACTCAGTGGGGATACAGCCTCAATGGTAAAATATATTTCATTTGGGGTCAACTGACGCCTGGTAAAGGTGCGCATATTTTGCAATCATCATTTGGCAGTTGTTCCTAACGAAAGCATATACAGGTAGATTAAAAAGCGCAAGGTCTACATGCTTACATTGCATCGTTTCTCGCCAGAATTGTGTAGTGTGGATAATTTTGATTCACTTGACTTTGAATACCTACCAAAGTAACAGCGTTGTCTCTTATCATTACCCGTGGAAACATCTACCATCAGTAGGCTTTTTGCAAATTATAATATCTCTGAAAGCGACTAGTTCTGATGACAAACTAAGGGTAAGACGACATTGTACTTGGCCGGATCACATTTGAGATTTGACCATGGAAGCTTGACACCGATCAAATCACAGTGACCTTTACCGGTTATATAGCGTTGAGGGAAAAGCTCGGTTCTCTACGTCACTGGTATGAGCACTGTTAATGACGAGCTTCAGCGTTTATGCTTTCCAGCCGAGGAAATAAAGCTGCAGAACCGAAGTTGTAAAACTTATACCGTGGCCGTTCTACTTTATATTACTTGTACGAAATTCAGGAATCTACCTTAGGAATTTTCTGCTCAGGTTTCGTTGCCTTGTCGATCTAGGAATGTGGTTCAGACATGGTATAAAACGGGAAAACGTTCGCACGGAATGGACTAGGCTCAGAAAATTTGATGATATACGTATTGCAACTTGTAGTGTTTTGCAAGAACGCATGTTTCCATGATTGTAGCTAGGTGGGAAGTTTTCCGTCTGACAATGCGACAATGATTGTTTACGGCGTTTTATATAGATGTCAGCATTGTGACCCTGAAGGGTTTGGATCTGAGCTGCACAATCTCTTCTATAGTCGTTTCACCTTTACACTGCCACGAGTCAAAATCACGTAACTCCGCTTTATTGAGCCAGGAACTAAGCTGTTTTGCATTGACTGACCCTTAGATTTCACTCATAGTGTTTCATTAATCCATTAATTGATTTAAAATCACACCGCCATTTGCCCTTGTCCTCTTGTTTATAGAAAAAGGCGTGGCAAGTTTCGTGCCGCTCAACGTGTGGCCAGTCAAATTTTGGTTTGGTTTCTTATGAGTGCAAAATGCAGATAAGTATGGCCCTAGGAACTGGGCTTACGATTTGTCTGTGGCGGGACAACTGCCGGTGGTAAAAGTCCATCAAGTATCCACACCTTATACAGGGTTTTAAAAAAATCATAAAATATACTAAGTGACATATAAATCCGAACACCCAGTTTAAATGGTTTTATTTTAATAAAATTTTGTATAAGTACTTAATGAAGCATAATAAGTAAATGATAAAAATTTCAAAATGATTGCACTGCTTTAAAGCCCTTTGACCTTTAGTAATGTGTGGATGCACCCTGATGTGCTACGTATTCTCCAACGCGCCTAGGCATGCTTCTGATCAGGTGGGCAATGTCCTCCTGTGGTATCTCATTCCAGGCAACCACCAACTCCTCTCGAAGTGCTTCTAGAGTCTGAGGAGGACGTTGCAAATTGAGCAATCTCCTACCCATCATATCCCATACGTGCTCAATTGGGGATAAGTCGGGAGATCTTGGTGACCATGGTAACAATGTGACATCATTATGTTGAAAGAAGTCTATTGTGACTCTTGCAACATGTGGTCGGGCATTATCTTGTTGGAAAGTTGGATCTGCCAGGGTGTCAAGATAGGGTAAAAGATGGGGTTCTAGAACTTCATGGATATAACGCTGCGCGTTCATGTTACCTCTGATGAAGATTAAAGGTGACCTGGAACCATAAGCTATAGCACCCCAAACCATAACTCCAACAGTGTGATGAACATGTCTTTCAACAAAAAACTGTGGATTCCTCCTTTCACCACGTCGCCTTCTAACCCTGGCACGACCATCGTGCATGCCTAAACAAAATCGAGACTCGTCACTAAAGACAATACTGTTCCATTCCTGATACCAGAGTGACCGTTGTCTGCACCACTCAAGGCGATTACGTCGGTGTTCTCGAGTTAAAGGGAGGACCCAGTGTCGCCGGTATGAAAACAAGCCAAAACTTCTCATTCGTCGGTAAAGACTTCGCATGTCAATAGGTCTTCCGTGTTCTGCAAACCATTCATTTGCAATGGAGCTGGAAGTGGAGAAACGGTCCCTTAAGGCCAATAATCTTAGGCGGCGATCTTCAGGGTCTGTTGGTCTACGGCGGCGTCCAGTGCCCCTTGCTCTTTGCGTACGGCCTTCTCGAAGCCATGCCTGACAACACCTAACCACAGTGTCTACACTTCTGTTGATCAGTTCACCACGCCTGCGAAGTGATTCAACCCAACGAAGGATGTTGTTTCGAGAGGGAACAGCTCTATTCCGATGAATGTTGAAGTGGCGACGAAACTCACGCTGTACGACGATGACTGACTCATTATTTCGGACGAAACAATCTTAGGCGAAAACGCGCTGTTCCACCGTCCAAGGCTCCATAACGACAACTGGTAAAATAATGCTAGGATCTCACGAGTCAAACGGCACCCTCCCCACCTCTGTCGTAGACGGATGCGGAGAGTACTACCCATCCCAAAAACGTCCGTCCTCTCTGCCGCACCACGTACCATCTAAGCCTTACCATCCGAACAACCTTGCTTAGATAAGTAAATCACTACTATGTTGAGTCTTATTTGTTGGATTATTTTATATAACTGCTCCTATTGTTGTTGGGCTTAATTTTTTTTGGGTGAGAACGGTATATTTCCTCATGCGTTCGTCGAACCTTCTAAAAGTCACCGGTACATCAATGAGCCGCTGCTTCTTTTCCCCTAGACCACAATGCGGGGCTCGTTATTAGCGATGCCATCACAAAAACATTTCCTTTGAATAATCCGCTGGAGCAAGGAACATAATCGCGAGGCGGCGCCGTAATTTCCTCGGCGCCGCCTGAGGGGTTTCAATTTTTTTATCTGATGCTCTCGAAGTCGTCGACGTCTCCCTCTTCGCATAATATCTACACGGGGAACGTGTCAATAGCCGAGTGCATTGACGTCTCATTAACCCAAATAACTTCTCAATTTTTCTGTTGCGAACGCGGGCTGTTTTAGTATAGTAAGCCTGTTCCGGGGTATGAAAACAAAGATTTTAGGTTAGAAGCATGATGTTCGCAATCAATTGTCTCTAACGCTACAGACTATACTCTTCATCCCACAATATCATCGTAGGTGTTCCCCAAAGCTCGGTCTTAAACCCGACATCGTTCCTCTATCATATCAACGACCTCCTTTCCTGTACGATCAATCCACCTTAGGAATGGTAACGAGTCTCAAGAAATGACCAGACGGATCATTTTCGTGAAAAAAATTTTACCTCCCAATTCCCGCTCTTGTCTTCAAGCACATCTTCCAGCTGAGCCAATCGATTTATTTCTAGGTGAGCCGTGGTTATCAAACCTAAGCTGAACTAGATACACAGACTAATTACACCAACGCCAGTTATCAGAGTCATCGAGGGGTCCAGCATCATATACCGCGATATCAGCATTTAGATTTAAACCTTTATTACCGCAATATACGTTTTGACGTTGCGCTGTTTTGAGCACGCCGTACAATCAATTGGGGAATTGCTGACGTCTGATTTGGACCCGATTAAAGCTGAAATAGTGGCAATCGCTAACCAATTATCCGGCATGTCTGTTTCGTTTCGGCCGTTATGCGCGTATGGGAGCGTGTCACTTTTAATGGAGTTTGGGAATATCCTGCGGATCGATCATTCGGAAATTCGTCTTCTGGATGAGTTCTCCGATCAGGCTTCGATGCTCTGATTGACGCTGGCGTGAGGGTATTTATAAAAATACGAGTCACACGTTTCGCCCTGTACGTGCTGTTCCCATTCATTCTCCAATTAAAGAAACCGTATACCCACCTGAGACAACTAGACGGATTTGTAATAGTAGTAGATTAGGAAGGAAAGCATTTACATGACAATCCTGAGAAAATATTAACCAGACTAACAAGAAGTAGAAGGCATACAACTCGCAAGCGATTCTATCTAAAGGAAAAAACAAACAAGGGATCTGAATCACCCGCAGTTTATTGCACAATATCAGCAATAAATAAGGTAAACGATAAAGGACCGAGGTTTGAGCCCTGAGGCACTCCCGATTTAGTTACATACTGGTACGACTTAGAGGCATTGAAGGTTACATATTGCTTCCTTTCATGAAGATAACTCTTAATGAGTGTTAAAGTTGATAAATGGAATATATAATGAGAAAGCTCAATTAAAAAATCAAACGCTTTAGCAAAACCAGTATATACTACATCTAGTTGACCTTGCCGATCGACACTAGATTGATTGTCTAAGGCAGTTGGCGCAGCTGGATAAGAGAAGAACTACGTAACTAAACCTGACATGGTTTGTTCGAGAAAGCTTAACACGAAACAGAGTGTGAATAGGTTAACTTCTGTATCAACAGTAACAACCAGTACTGCAAAGTTTGACCGAACCTTCCCGGCACTCTTACAAACGAGTAGAATATACTTCATGAAATTCGTGTGCTTTCCACACTGTTTCGGTCTCGAAGAATCCAACACGTGTAGCTAAGTTGAGAGTAAGGGTGACATCGATCATTGTTTCAATGCCAACTCAATTGCTTAACGGATGCGTTGACTGCAGGTAAACATTCATAAGTGTTATATCACTTTTCATAATGTCGAGAATGAGGAAAAGAACGTTACTCTAATTCAGCGTCATAAGTTTCTGGTAGATGTCTTCGTCGAAAACACTGTATACCGATTTGTCAATAAACCGTAAAAACCTCTATTGATTTAAGCGCATTCGTCTATCCATATCGGTATCCATGTACTCGTATACCCCCGTTCACATCAACATGTATATTTTGAATATTACCACCACAGCTGAACGGCCCAATATTTCCGTGCCGATAAATCTACTATGTAGAACGAGCGGACCGACTTTATTTCTCTTTATATTGAGCTCCTGCGGCGTTGATTTTCTGTTAAACTCCGCCCGCATGGAAAGCCTTCCCCAGCTAGGTTGCGATATTACAACGTGTTTTTGCACTTTGTGTAACCGCGTACTTATACAGGCAAATATGGTTCTTACGAGTTTCAGAGAGGAAAGTTTTTTGCGTGATATGCGTATAATTTGTTAGTAAAACAAGTTCAATCACACAATCTACCCGAACAGTAGTTTCCCAGTTCTACTATAATCTTAAAAGAGATAGCACCACAAATAAGGGTCGTTTATCTTAACTTTGACAGGATGAAAATCTGTCTGTTACTGTTGTCGACCTTCCTCCTGCATGAGCTTCTATCAGCAATCTTTTTAAGAACAAAATGATCAACCTTCGAACATTTTAGATATAGGTGTTGGAAGCATATGTCTTTCATAAAGTCAAGGTACTTGATCGAAATTCTCTGAATTGATCTACCAAAATTGGAAACAAGTATCGACTCGCATGTGTATCCTGGCAGCAAGCAGCTGAGCGAGTTTCAGCACACTAAGTGGCGCAGACCTCTTGTTACGCGTAGGTTTCGCTTTGCTTGAGAGGTTCCTTGGATCATCCTGAAAATACTTGTATTTCCTCAGAGTTCCTTGGGCGACTTTTTATCTCGACCGGATAAGTTCTCAATCCTACCTGAAATTCTCTTTGCATTGCTTCAGCATGAAACATGTCATACCATCCAGTGCGTGTTTATTCTTGCAGGGCCCCGACAACAAAATTCACCAATGGAAGCAGATTTCTATCAAAAATTTCCACCACCCGGCAATTCCGTGCACTGGGTGTGAAATTGTTTCACTAATGCAGGTTGTGGCGGCTGAACTGCTACACGAGAGCACAGGAAAGTAATAACAGAAAGTTGAGGATCGCAGTGAACGTTCCACTTGTCTACAGGGTTATCCAAATTAAGTGTCCACCATTAGTAACTTTGTTATTAGTGAAAATACAAAGTTGTTTGAATTAGCAAACTAGTAGCATTTTTAACGCTGGTAAAAATGAGAAATAAAAAAAAACAATTGAGAGTCGTTATTTTGATTTTTTTCAGTAAAATAACATTTTTTTAAATGGAAACCCCTGTATATTATATTTTTTTCTGTTAAAGCATCAAATTTTAAACAAAAAAGCTTACAATAACTTTTCTCCTAGGTTACAAATTGTTGAAGTTATGGCCTCCAATCTGAAACAATTAAATTGTATCGACAAACTTTATTTTCAACGTCAACTTATAATCTTACAAAATACAATAACAATTTTTTTTAAAGAAGATGCTCGAAAACACCACCTTGTTCTTAAATACATTTTTGGGCACGTTTTTCAACTGCTCGAACTGTCTTAAGTATGGTCCTACCATCTATCTGGGTTATCTTTTCCCTAACTGCAGTCTTTAACGCGTCAAGGTTATCGTACATTCGCTTGTAAATTTGGTTCTTTAAGTAACCCCACAAGAAGTAATCAAGTGGGTTTAGATCTGGTGATCTGGTAGGCCACTGTATTGGGCCATTTGTTCCTATCCACTGATCATTAAAAGTAGTACTTAGAAAATGATAAGTACCTCTGGAGTTGTGGGCAGGTGCGCCATCTTGCTGAAAATGCAGATGATGTCTACTTATAAGATTCAATTCGTCTAAGAAATTAGTCAGAATTTCTGACATAAATTCCACATATCTTTCACCAGTTAGGGTTCCCTCATAAAAGAACGGGCCAACAATTTTTGAACCAATTATACCGCACCAAACGTTGAAACTGAAACGGACTTGTGGGCCTCTTGGATGTACTAACAAAAGATTTTCTCTTGACCAATAATGGTGGTTTTTTCTATTAAACATTCCAGAATTTGAAAAATTTGATTCATCTGTCCATAAAAGGTAACGAAAGTTATTTACATTTTGGCGACAGAAGCTAAGATACCAATGGCAAAAAACAAGTCTTCTCTCTGGATCCCCTGCCAAAAGCGTTTGAACTGGTCGGTACTTATACGGAATAAATTTGTATTTTTTTAAAATCCTTTGAACAGTACCATAACTGAAATTAGAGTCCTTGAGAATATCTGCTATTGAATTCTCACGATAAGCTTCAAAATATCCAATAACTGCAATTTCCGTGGCCTCGCTTATTATGAATTCTTTTTTTGCCCTTGTTTTAGCAAAAACATTTTCGTTGCCCCTAAATTTTCGATAAAGTCTCAGAAAATATCGTTCATACGGTTGAATGCGAGCGGGATATAATTCACTGTAGTATTCTCTTGCTCTCAAGGAGGATTTTCTGCACACTAAATAGCATTCTAACATATCACACTTTTCTTCATGGGAGAACATTTTTCTTTAAATTAATGACACAATAAAGCTTATAAACAAGTATTTACACTAATGTTTGACATTATTTGATTTTATCATTGTTTTCCAAAGCCTTCTAGTTGCGAGTATGTCCAGTTTAACAATTTGTCGCTTATCTTAATGCTGTCAAATCGCGAACGCCATGTTGTTTTCATAGCCGTCTTAATATTATAATACTGCAAATAATTAAAAATATTTATCGTTATTTTGACTTTATTTTTGACTTTAGCGGAAAAGTCATTATGAACTTTTTTGTTTAAAATTTGATGCTTTAACAGAAAAAAATATAATATACAGGGGTTTCCATTTAAAAAAATGTTATTTTACTGAAAAAAATCAAAATAACGACTCTCAATTGTTTTTTTTATTTCTCATTTTTACCAGCGTTAAAAATGCTACTAGTTTGCTAATTCAAACAACTTTGTATTTTCACTAATAACAAAGTTACTAATGGTGGACACTTAATTTGGATAACCCTGTATATCTGTCAAAGGCGTTTCGCTGGCACGTGGATCAAATCTGGGGCTAATACTATGCTATTCTTCCATAATGAGGTTTTTATTTTTGTTACAAAGCTATGTAGGTACTCGTTTTGATTTCTGTTATTTTTTCAATATGTTATCTCCACTGCGTCACGTGACTAACGTCATTTCTTTTGCAGGTAAGTCTACGACATTTCGTATGGCACTTCCGAAGCTGATTTCAGTAAGACTCGAAGCAAGGGTAAGTTATTTACTGGAAGATAACAAAAAGCCGGTTAAAGTCTCTCTCGTTCCATTCCGTGATCGATTCCCTGACTCTTGTATTAACTGTAGCTCTTCTGGAAGGGTTCCAATGCTGCCCTAGCTGAAACACTTTTTTTTATACTTCAACTACCACGAAGGCCGAAGGCCTAAGCACCCATTGGGTACCGTGGGGCTATAGGGGGATACATGGGAAAGGGGGAACGCCACACGGACTCTGGCAAGCAACATGCACACATTCTGGCTCCGCCTACGAGATCCGCCGGGTGGTACCTCCGCATTCGACAGGCAGAGACCGTCTACCACCTACGGACAATCACAACGTCCATAGCCAAGAGAAAAATTTCTCCTGGGACGGGACTCGCACCCGCCCAGCGCACGGCGACTGATCAGGAGACCGAAGAGTCTACTACTGCGGCCATCGCTGCTGCCTGACTATGCGATGACTAAAAATTGGTGGGCAACTGCATCAGCAACCATCGAGATACCGATCGCGTTGGCATTTTTTCAGTGAGAACGCTTCTATTCAAACACATCTGACCAGCTGGGTTGCGATCGCAAGTTGCTTCCCATGAGAACCACAAGAGCGTTATGCATTCTAGCTCACTCCGAACGATATTTTTTCAGCTATCCTGGATCTAATTGACCGGCTGCGCATCCACTTTTTCCGAACCTCCGGCGAGATTTTCGACTTTCATAACTAGAACGCTCATTTGTTAGTCTTGGGGTTGCGAGATGATGAACGGTATACTTTGGGATGACGTTCTTCGAAATTTAACACCGCGCTATGATAAATCGCTTTCGCAGACCGGACGTCAAGGATGGCCTTTATCATTTCAGGATGTTACATTCTCCGGATTTATCAGATTTTCGAGTAGTGATATCAAGTAGGAAAATGGAGTTACCGTTGGAGAGATAATAAACTAGAAGCCTTCCGGAAAGAGTGCGCTGGCTGTCTATATCTCACTTACCGGGAACTTTTACGAATACGTGCTCCTGGTCCACAGGACGAGCCCTTTTAGTTGTTCGAGAGTGACCTTGAGTCACATCCCCTTAGTGACATAATAAATATGCTTCGAGGACTCTCTTATACCCAACAGTGTGTTTACATAGCAGCTACAGCCCCTCTTTATTATTCACGTCGCGCCGATACGTCTTGTAGCCATACTCAGGATATCTCTTTTGAAGGTATTCAAAAACGCCTACTCCTGGTACTAAAATGGAGTCTCGCACCTTACTCAGATGTAATCTATCGTCATTTCAAGGAGTGTTTCCTCGAAGTCTGATGTCTGTCCTTACACCGACATGTCATTTCATCTTCTGCACCCCTAATACATTTGGCTACTAAGAACGACTCTCCGGAGTGGGCGGGCAGGTCTGGTACACGGACGGCTGGGTCATCGAAGAGGGCTCAGGTGCTGGGGTCTCTGGGCCTAGAACTAGGCTATCTCTGCCTCTCGGTGGATACACCACTATTTTCCAGGCGGAAATCTTTGCGATTCTGGCTTGTGTATCTCACATTCTGGAGGAGGGTGGGCCTAGAAGAAGAATAACAATCTTATCCGACAGCCAGGCTGCAATGAAAGCACTAAGTGCCTGTAAGATTACTTCGAGTCTTGTATTGCAATGCAGCGAGGCATCCGGTATCGTTAATATGGGTAACGGGACACGCTGGGATAAGGGGCAATGAGACGGCGGACACTCTGGCGAAGACAGGATCAGCCAGCAAGCTCGTTGGTCCTGAGCCAGCTCTAGGAGTGACCGCGCATAAAGCTAGGAGGAACATGGAGACGTGGGTTGCAAGACAACACTCTCAGAAATGGAGAAGCATCTCCAGACATCTGCGCTAGGCACGGGAACTCCTTGAAGGGCCCAGTGCTAAGGATGGACGCTTAACACGTTAAGGCGTCACCTGCACGAGATGGGGGTGGCTAAGAATCCCTTGTGTGAACGCTGCGGGGTAGAGGAAGAGACCTCGGCGCACGTTTTGTGTCGCTATGAAGCTCTGAGCTACTATAGGCAGACTATACTGGGGTCCATTACTTTGGACCCTCAGGACGTCAAGGACTCAAGGCGATTCTCAACTTCGCTAAAAGGGCGAGGCTTGTGATCTAAGGATTGTAGAGGTGCATAAGGGCCCGCTTAAGCGGCCTATGCACTGGCTCCTTATGCTGGCCGGAATGCCTCTAATTTCAAGATTCATTCATTCAAGAACGACGTTGTTTTTTGTCCGATTTGGAGGGTGATACATATGGACGGATTACATAAATTTCCGCTTTGAGCTTCTTAGCATCGCTCAGATTCTGGACATTTAAAGTGCTTTTGGAGCAGCACTAACATCAGCGAAGTGTTATTCGATGGGATCTCTAAAATTGAGGTATGTCGGTCAGGGTTCTAGGAGATGTGGGGGGATATCTGAATTTGTTGACGGTAATTATACGTAGCTATTAGTACGTATATCATAAATCATAGGTTTACATGTGCCCTTAGAAGTGATCTGAAGAAATGACAGCGAGACATAACAATATTACACAAACGTATTGTGCCAAATTTCAAGGAAAAAAATCCATCGCTTTTCATATAAAAACTCCACATTTCTCGTACTATGAGCGATAAAGAGCATCCTGCTTCAAAGAGCACGAAAATCAATTATCTCAAAGTTGCGCTATTAAAGTAGGAAAACGTTGTTTTTCAAAACATGTAATTCCCAAAGGAGCTTGCTCCGTCATCTGCTAGTTATGCATAAATTAGATAAGGCCGGGAGGAATTTGCATTTCTTCTCAACCGTGGAATGTTATTAAATGGGATTTTTTGCTGATGCATCACATAAATTTGTTAAAACGGCTTTGTAAAGCAACAGTTCTCACGTACAAAACTGCCTAATCGTTTTCAGAATCTTAAGAGATTTGCGTCGAGTATATTGATTTTTTTATTCATAGATTCTCAAGTTATCCAAATTCAGAATTCCGTGAAAGTGACGTAAAAAATCAAGTCAATCACAATGATTGAGTACAAATCTGTTTGAAATTTTAGCTAGCGACACATGTATCATTTTAGTGGTGTATGAAATATGACTTGAATGTTAAATTTTCAATTCAAAGGCGTTGAAAAATGGAGTTAGATTTATTTTAATCCGCATCCCTCCAAAATTTATTTTAGCTACAATTAGAAATCGTCAGAAACATGAAGATTGTGGGAATTGCATCTCGTATAGTTTTCAAAAGTTTTCTAATTGTTTATAACATTCCAACGTTTGCTTGACATTTGGCAGTGTCAAGAATAGTGGTATAAAGATCCAGTAAAACCAGAGGCGTCGTAGTCGGAAGAATTAACGATTGCAGAACCACAAAGCTCTTTTTTCTATTAGTTTCTTTTTAAATTTGTAGAAATGAATGCTTTTTCACATTACAGGGTGTCCGCAAATTTGGGGTTTTCCTTTACACGACGTGTAGATCTTGAAAACATAAGCAATTTTTCTTGGTACCATATACACCAATGTCTTAAAAGAACCGAGATAAAGGGCTCTGCAACATCAAAAATATCTGAATACCGTCCTGTAGCTGCGACCCGCCGCGATATCCCCGACTGATACAAGGTCTCAACCCGACGGCAGAACTGGATCGGGGTTAGTGTGTCAGGTTAGTATGCAACCTTCAACCGACGGTTACGGTCACGCGTCTAGAGGTAAACGAACTCGTATAATCGATTTCGTTTCAAAAACCAACAAGCACTAGAGACGTGGCTAGAGAAGTGCAAGTATCAAAAACTAAAGTGTGGCAAACGCTGCGTGAAGAGGGGCTGTATCCGTTTCACGTTCAACGTGTACAAGCACTTCAACCTGACGATTTTCTAGCAAGAGTGCGGTTTTGTCAGTGGTTGTTGCATCAACATGACAATAATCCGGACTTTTTGAAGTGTATATTGGTGACAGACGAATCTACGTTCACGCGTAATGGGGTGAATAACTTTCGCAACACTCATGTTTGGTCATTTTCAACAAACATTTTCGGTGAATGTTTGGGCTGGCATGGTGAACGGTATGCTCATTGGACCATTTATTCTCCCAAATCGATTGGACGGCATGCAATACCTAGACTTTTCACGCAACATTTTGCCTTCCTTGTTAGAAGATGTGCCATTAAGTGTAAGACAATCAATGTGGTTTCTGCGTCTGCTCAGTAGCGCTTCAGCTGATTTCATTTTCTGTGCGGTATGATTTCGGGCAGAGACGTACTTAGCCCTTCTCGTCAACTGGAGAGTGAGTACTTTTTCCTTTATTTTTTTTTTACTTGGTCGCCCTCGTTTCACTACACATTACCTTTTTTATTTCAAGGGTTGTTGTGTACTTTTATTGCGATCAAACAGTTTTTTCGCACGCCATAGACAATGTAAGCTTCTTGTTTATATCAAGGATAAAATTTCAGAAACAATATGTCGGATCATAGCAGATAATTTTTGATAACAAACATCTTAGATGTGTAGATTTATTAATCAACAATAATGAAAGACATCCAAAATTTAACCTCCCACAGGTTTGATTGCGTCTTTGTACCTTTGTCAATAGTAAAATCTGATCATAAATAACGGACTCTGGTGCAATGGTCTAAATATAACTAATTGACAGTGTTTAAAAATCTCTATCAACTGTCATTCCTCAGCAGTTACGGAGTTAATAAGCTTCTGGATGCCAAACGCAAACGGTATACGCGGTCGGATAGGCACGAAAAAACATAAACGCGAACTTTGCTTATCGAAGCAAATAAAGGGGTTGTTTTCCCCTAAAGTAGAATTTTCTGAAGAGTTGAAGTTCGCTTAGCTGCGCGAGCACGGAGCGATCCTCCGGAGTTTTTTCTTTCATAGGATTTGCATTTTTCTCAGCCGTAGCGAGGAGGGTATTAGAGAGGATTTGTGTTTCTTTCAAAGTACTTTAACTTTCAAGATAACAGAGACGTTTACTCTTCATTTTGTTTCCTTCGCGCA